TCTGTTGTCTTGTATATAATGTAGAATATCAAAATACTAATGTATAAAGGAAATATAGCAAGTCCCAGAGAAAATGGAAGATAGTCTGAAATTGCCCGAGGTTTCAGGGATAATAAGCAGAATTAAACATATGATTACCATTCCCAATTCTATATTTAGTTTTTGGATCACATTTATTATATTTTTCATCATCTGTATTATTAGAGAACTAAGAAAGTAGCATTTTTCTTTTTATATCAAAATATAATGTGTTTTTAAAATAAAATTAATGTATCAAGAAAATTCAGCATTTAATGTGAAGTATTTTCTTTTCTAGGCTTCAACTTCCATATCATGAGAATGCTAATAATAAGTGTGTGTTTCTAAAGTATGGCCACATAGCTGCTGAAGATTGCCAAAGATATGGCTATTGTATCTGTAAGAAAAAAACATATTCTGATTAAATAAAATATGATACTAAGAAAAATATTAAGACCTGAAATTTTTCAGTGTGGTGACTTCAACTATGTGATTTCTTTTACTTCCCTAAAAGTAGGTATCATTAAACATTGATGTCCATAAAATATTCTGTATTCTTTAACTTTAATTGTCAGTATTTATTGGGATCAGTTTAATAAATCACATATTAGAAACATAGGAAATGATGCAAAGAAAATAAGGAATCTGAAGGAACACTCTTGAGAGAGAGAGAGAGGTATTAAAAAAATCCCTGTGAAGTTAGGTTTTTCTTTTTGTTTGTTTTTTTGAGACAGCATCTTACTTTGTCATCTTGGTAGAGTGCCGTGGTGTCTTGCCTCAGCCTCCCAAATAGCTGGGATTACAGGTGCCCACCACAATGCCCAGCTATTTTTAAAGATGGGGTTTCACTCTGTCTCAAGCTGGTCTCAAACTCGGGAGTTCAGGCAATCCACCCACCTCAGCCTCCCAGAGTGCTGGGATTATAGGTGTGAGCCATCATGCCCGGCCTGTGAAGTCCGTTTTAAGACATTTTAATTTTCTAGTACTTACAAAATCAATTTTGTCACACTTTTATACTACTGCCTAGATTTTTATAAATTACTAATTTTTATGTGCCTCATTATAGTTATCTGAATATAGCTGAAGATAAGAATAGTTCAGGAAAGAAGACAAATTTGCCTAATAAAAGTAATTTTAAATAAAAATTATATTTTATATAAACATAAGTTAGAAAATATTTGTTTAAGGAGGTTATAGATAGCCGAGTGGTATTAAAACTTTATTAGATAAATGAGGTGCAAACAGTATGAAAATGGATAGTCTCTACTGAAATTTAATTCATTCAACATGAGGGTTTTTTTTTCTTGTCAGTGGTCAGGCATTGAGTTTTCAATGCTGCGGACACATAGTTGTTCAAATCAAACAATTGTATGTGCTTTCATGGAGCTTACAAACTAGAGGGGGATATAGATATTAATAAAATAATCACATTGATAAATACCCAATTACAAATAAATTTTCTCCCAAAGAATGGCAAGATAGTTACCATACTATTAATGACAAAGAACATGACCTAAACTTAAGACTTCCCCAATCTTCTAATATTTATGGGGAAATCTAATAAGTGAATAATGTTATCAACAAAATAGGAAAGGGAGCCAAGAAATGAGAATGTGTCCAAGAGAGAAATACAAATAAGCAGCCCATGAAAAGGCCTTGTGGTGAAACAAAGGTCAGGTGGCTGCCTCCCAAATCTGAAAGAGAAAAATGGTATGATATACCATCCTGGAAAAGACAAAAAGAAACTAGAAAACAGAGATATTTGAAAACTGTGAGAAGGATGTTTACTTTAATTTATCCAAACTAAAAGGAAGGCATCTTGCTAGTCCCCTGTATACTAATTACAAACATGGTTGCTGAAAGTGCCAAATGATGTGAGGCCACAGACAAAAATTACTAGATATCACATTCATATGAATGGCAAAACATAACTGTACTCCAGAAAGTAGGAGGGAAGAGGAGAGAGAGGGAAAGAGAGGGGAGACTTGGGAGGAGGGAGGGTATTTGGGGAGAGCTCACCTAATGTGCATGATGCAGTGGTACATTTCAAAACTATCAAGAAATGAGTATAATTGTGACGGATGTGTTACTTAGTTCAATGAGAGCATTTCACATTGTAAATCAAAGCAGTACACTGAACCCCATAAATGCATCAATGTACAAAGTTATGATTTAATAGGAAATAATAATGAAAAAAAGAAAAAAATTACTAGATATCCAAGGAGAAAAAATTAAAAAATAGCAAATTTAAATTTCTGTTTTATATAATCAGTAATACATACGTAACAAAATTAAAATAACCATTCTAAAAAAAATCCTCAGTGAGATACAGGGAAATATTTGTAAAATAAAGCAGGAATGTAACAGACAACATTTCTGTTTCTGGATAAAACACGGTAAGGAAAAATGAAACAGAAAAAGAATTTTTTTATAAGCTTTAAAAATGCATTGTTATGGAATCAGAAACCTATGAAATGAGAAACAAATGACTTTAATTTTAGAGTAAGGAGCAAATCAGCAAACTGCCACTGTTCTTGCTATTGGTTTTCATGGATCAGAGCTTGCCCAAGGCAGAGAACCTATACTTGGGCAAAAGGAACCTGGAGACATTTTTAGTGGTTATGTGCTCTAGGGTGATAATACTGGGTATTTGAAAATCTTTGGTATGGTTTGAATGTGACCCTTAAAAACTCATGTTGAAATTTAATTGTTAATGTAATGATTTGGGAAGAGATAATTAGGCCCAAGGGGGTTTTCCTTTGTGGATATGTTTAGGGCCTTTAAAAAAGGGATTTTGGGTATGGGTTTTCTCTCTCCCTATCATACCTTTGACCATATGATGATACGGTAAGAATGTCATAAAATGGCAGCACATTGGTTTCAGATTCCCAAGCCTCCAGAAGTTCAGAAAGTTAATACATTTCTGCTGATTATAATTACCTCACCTGTGATATTCTGTTATAGCAGCAAAAAAACATACTAAGATAGCATTCAAATCTTCAATTCTTCTATAAGCCATTAGTTTTGGCTAATATAACAAAGTAACATTGATTAGACAGGTTATAAACAAGAGAAATTTATTCTTCTCAGTTCTGGAAGCTGAGAATGTCCAAGAGCAGAATGCCAGTGTTGTTGGGTTCTGGAAACGACCCTCTTCTGGGTTGCAGACTTGACTTCTCTGTGTATCCTTATGTGACAGAAAGAAGGTTAGAGAGGTTTATGGGGTCTCTTCTATAAGGGCACTAATTTCACTCATGAGGAGTACATAGTCATGACCTTTGTTGAAGTCCAAATATAATGTATAGATCAATCTATAAATTATGTGACTTGTTTAATTGGATTAAATAAATCTGTGTGTCTTTTCCCCAGTTATTCAGCCTTTTGTGAGTTGATTCTTCAGGGAACCATCAGAAGGCAAAGGGAGAAGTCTCCCATGGTTCTCCTATACTACTCAACTTTGGGTATGACAAAAATGACAGAATTCTTGTGATCAACCTTCACACCTAAGTTACTTCCCAAAGCCCCCCTTATAATACCATAATATTGAGAGTTAGTACTTAAAATATGAATTTTGAAGGAGCATAAACATTCAATCCGTAACATTCTTTTCCTGGAAAAATTTATGTCCTTCCTGCACATAGAAAACATTTATTCCATCTTGACAACTCCCAAAGTCTTAACTTCTTCCAGCACCAACTCTAAAGTCAAAAGTCCAAAAATTTCATGTAAATATCATCAAACCATATGTAGAAGAAACTTAAGATACTATTTGTCCTGAAGCATAATTCCTTTCTAATGTGTACATGAGAAACCTACATGGGCATAGGATACACAATCCATGTGCAAAGGGAGAAGGAAATAGGGAAAAAGGAAGGCTGAATGGTTCCAAGCAAGTCCAAGACCTAGCAAGGCCAACTCCAAAATATCCTAAGGCTCGAGAACAATTCTCTTTGGTTTTATACTCTTCTCTCCAAACACAGTGGGGCAGCATTCTCACCTCTTCACCCAGTGGGGTGGAGTTCCTACCTCCTGTACCCACTGGAGCTGCAATACCACTCTCACATTTAGGCAAGGCACTACCCACCCTCTCTGGTTCTCTGCTCATCCAGTAGTTTTCTGTGGAGGTGGAGGTTGGGCCCCCAGGGCTCTAATGAGCCTCCCTTCCCTCACTGCTCCCAAGGGTTTTGGTCTCACCCTTTGTATTAGACTATCCCCATCCTTCAGCCTATGCTATCTAAGCCCTGGTAGGAGTAGTAGCCTTGAAGATCTCTGAATTGCCTTCAGAGTCCTTCTTCCCTTGTCTTAGACAATGTTCACAACTGAATTGCTCTATGGTCTGGTCCTGTGGGTTCTAAGAAATCTGATAGTCTTTTGTTCATTTTGTCCTGCTTTTTTCTGTTTTCTTTAGTTTCAGGCGGCAGTGTCTCTGCTGGTATAATCTTTTCTATTTTTCTGGCTTTTGTTGAAATGGTTGATTAGGTCCTTGCACAGTGCTCCGCATACAGATGTATGTGTTTGGAGATGAACAGTCTTCAGTATAGGCTTTAAAGCTTGAGCCATAAACTGCACAAGTTCCTTTCTGCATCTCGATTATTGTTAGTCTAGATGAGAGACAATTACAAGTTATAATCATTTTTTTAATGCAGTAATATAAAGATGAAATAATATTTATTGGGCATTAAACATCACTTCAGAAGATTTTTGGACCAAATCTGGCCCTTCTAGTTCAAAGACATGCCAGATATTGCTAATTCAGAATAATAAAAGGAAAAATTACATTCTCTTGTAATTAATATACCCCTCTTTTCCATACATTGATAATTAACCAATTCAGAAATTTAAAATCTCTCTTCATATAAGTTACAAAAAAGCTTTAAAATATTTATTTTAAAATAAATATTATTTTAGAAATCAGAATTCTGCTTAAAAGGAAACATTGTGTCTTGTGCAAAAACAGAGAGCTTTATTCAGATATGTACATATTTTTAATTTTACTTGGTAAGGAAATGAAAACAAATGATAAAATCTTCGTACATGAACACACATATACAAGAATATGTGTGTGTTTATGCATGTACATATGTATGTGTACACTTTACTCTGAGCTATTGAATGGGTTATATAATTAATATAATAATGGTGATTTTTTTTTATTTCTTTAGTAACAGGGGGACATAGAATGCTCAGAGAAGAGTGACAATATCATAGCATGTGAAAATTTTTTTTAGCATGTGAAATTGACAAAAAATTAAAAAAGACTATGATCCTATACTACCTGTATTTACAAGGACAAAGGTAATGAATTCTGCTCATATAGAAACAATGGGCCACTATTCAGAAGAAAAACTTTTTAGAGTTTTTTTAATAACTGATCTTACTGGGTCTCATTATTTCTAATCTTACTTTCTTCATGTGTTACTTCAATTTCTGGGTCTGTTTTTTTGATACCACTTCGACTGCATTTCTGCTGGAATATTAATTACACTGGATTATACTTATTTGTGGATAACAACATCTCTGATTAGAGTTTGAAACTCTTGAAGGAGTCATATTCTACTTATCTCTGTAGTTCATGGGAATTGGGTGGCAGTAAATAAAAATTTACCACATACATAAACAGAAATTTAGTATGCTTCTTGTCTTGTTTCTGAAGGGAAATTTTGTACTTGCAAATTGGGAAATATTGAGATAATTTGATACAAAAATCTTTTTAGTATTTTAAGAAATTTTTTTTTTTGTTTACAAATAAACCCTCAAATCTTACAGAAATGAAGCTGGACTAGATCGATTCTAAGGTTTACTGAGGCTGTCAAAGTGCAAATATATAACAACATAAGAAGATAGGTAGTTTTTTCTTACAACGATACAAGGGGAATAACGAAGGAAAAATACCTTGTAGTAAAAGATTGTGAGTAGATCATTGCCATGTAACCATTAAAATTAAAAAGTAAACATGAAGATTTTTAAATCAATGAAAATGATATAAGTCATTTAATGATAATTCTGGCTCTGTAGTCAGAAATACATATATTTGAATCCTCACAGCAAAACTTACTAATAGGGGAGTTATCATACACTCTAAAATTCTGTTTCTTACCAGTATATTAGGTTAAAAATAAAACCTGTTGTATATGGTTGTTAAGCATACTTAATGAGAAGATAGACATAAAGTGCTTAAAACTGACAGAGAGGAAGCACCTAATTAACCTACTGTTAACATTGACATCGTTACTAACTGAAGAATTAGAGATGCAAATAACTAAAATATTTATAGCCTACAGATATTCTGCAACATTTGTGATATGAGGTTGAAAGAAAGGAAAAGCAGTATTGACACACACACAAAATTTAGATTTTATTTCTGACTTTTATGCCATGAGAAATTATTGAACAGTGCCATGAGAGGTCAGATCTTTCAAATGCTATAAATGACCTGTCTTGAGAGCTACTTCAGCTTTTAAGCAAAGGATTAAAGATAAATGCGTGAATTCAATAAATATGAAGATTTTTCTCATTTCCTTTAGCCTTGGTGTGCAGAGTTCTGTACAATCAATGGTTAAAAAAAGTAGGTGATAAAAACAAGACATGGGATACCTGAGAATCCAGAAAGACCAAGACATAACTAGAGTTCACATTTCACAGAAATTGAGAGGAGAAAGTTGAACAAATAAAGACATCCATAGACATGCGAAAGGCTCTTCCTGAGTATGAGTAGAGTACTGACTATTGCATGTGTGTAGAAAACCTACCCAAGGATGGAGAAAGAACTGTGTAAAAAAGTTAAAAGGATACAATCCTCAGCACTTCCATAAGGCCTGGAATCAGGTATTTTTCTACTAGCCATATTGTAAAATCTCCTATTTCAAAAGGAGTTAAGTAAATTTCCTAGTGTATATAGATTAAATAGATTCTTTTATGCTACATTATTGGGAAATAATTATCTTTAGACAGAATATGTTGACTAATAGTCCTTAAAAGCAAGTCCTAAACGTGTAAGTAAAGCTACATTTTAACTTACAAATTATTTTAAGAATAAAAAGTAAGCAACACCAAAAAAGAGAAAATTCATAGCTTATGGAACTCAATAAAAATAAAAAAGCAAAGAAATAGAGTAATAT